CAAGGTGATGCCCTGCCATCATGTGTAACAGGAGGGGGCAGCGGCGGGTTCGGGATTGTTTCCTGTGTCTCTGTTTGGATCCTGGTTGCCTCCACATCTTTTCTGATGATTTTGTCCTTGTGTCATGACCTTTTGGAAATACAAACTAATGAAAATTGTGGTAGGGTGAGGCATGTTGTTTAGACATTTGTAAGTTAGGGTTGGTTTGTTTGTTTTGCCTCAAGCTAAAGGTTTTTACAAGCTTTAAGTGAACTCACACATTGAAATCCTAGTAGCGTGAGATTTGGGACGTCTTGAATCCTCACAGCAGCTCCTGTGAGGTGGCCACCTTTTATTGTCTCACATGGAAACAGAATTTCAAGGAGCTTGAGCTTGAGAAATTTACTTAAGCTCCCCCAGTAAGTCGGAGAAGAGCTGAGATGATCTGCAGCTTTTGCTCTCTACAGACTCAAGCTGTGACTGCTGCAGAGGCCTGCTCAGGGCCACGGGGCCTAACAGTGCTGATTGGAACCCGGCCCGCTTGGACTGGGGACCTGTGCGCCCATCCACAGCTCTGCCCTGCACCTGTCCTTGTGGTCTCCCTTCCTCCTAGCCCTTCCCTGACACAGCTGCACCTCCCCTGTGTCCTTTCTTCGTGCTAGGACTTCCAGATGACTACAGTGTAAGCCTCACACCTTGCCTCCCTGAACTCTACAGGTCTCACTGTCTTGGCCGCCCCTCCATGTGTGCAGACCTTGCACTCACTTTGCCAGTTGGTAGGGTCACCAAGGTTTTGGCCGGTGCTTGTGTGTCCTGGTATGTCTTGGATTCCTGAGGCCTTGCACCTTGGTCAGCACAGCATGGTTAGAAAGGGGAGGCCAAGGCAGGAAGTGTGTTCTAGACCCAGGCTTGCCACTCACTGGCTGGCTGGCCGTGGGAACCTCTGAGACCGGGCCTTGCCTGTAAAGGAGCTGCAAGGCTCTCATGTGGTTAGAGATGCAACAGCCTTGAGTGGGGGACGCTGCGTGTAAACCCAAGGTTTTATGGTGATAAAACAGGAACTGCCTCAGTATTTTAGGAGCTCAGTGATTCCCAAAGATGTTCTCCCTGCTTCCTTCTTTCTTGGCTCCTTCCACCACCATATTTTCAGTACACAGGAAGGACCTGTGGATGGCTTCACTCAATCTTATTCCATGCTACTTAATGGATTGTGAGTAATTAGTTTAAAAGAAGGAAAAAAGCAACAGAGAACCCTGATGCAGTGGGGCTTTTAGGGAGACGAGTATTGACCTTAATTAAGCACAGAACCGCGCCTGCCTCCCCCAGCAGCCTCCTGGCAGGGAAGCCGTGCGGACACTGTGAAGCATTGAGTCAGCATTGATTGTTGGAGCATCCCTGAAGTTTATAGTAAGTGCATTTATGATTCCAGCCATTCCTGGAATTGAGGCTGAGTTAGCCGTGGCGTATTCTGTGTGACAGGAGTGCCATACTGAAAAGCCACGATCCCGACTTGCTGACAGGAGAAAAGAACAGAGTTTCGTATTTCTCATATGTCATCCTGGCTGCAGGCCACCAGCTTTCCAGGATCCAGCACACTTTATCAGAATCAGGGTCCCAGCTCTCAGAAACCACAGATCAAGTCACTGCTGTGGCAGTGTGGGGTGAAGCCTTGTGATGCTGTATCTGAGCAAGACACACGCCCAGTTTCCGGGCATTGTGCTGGGCCCTCGTGGGGTTGGGGTCCTTGCCGTGCAGAGCAGTGCATCTCAGGGGCATGAAGAACTGGGCTGCTGCATGGTGGCTCTCTTGGGCTCAGGAGCTGGGGTCCCCTCGGTGGGAGAACGTGACAGGGCATGACAGCACTGGGCAGCCAGAGAGACAGCATTGGCAGCAGGGCATCTGGAGCAGTTGTTTTCCCTGGGCATCAGCTGTGTACAACTCTGGTGCGCATGCTGGCTGTTCCTGAGCCTTTCATGAGCCTGTCAGCGGTGTTGAGTGCAGGCAGCTGGCTCTGTGCCTAAGACGCTGGAGATGTGTAGTAGGGATCAGTTTCTTGTCCTTGCCTGGAACTTGGTTCCAGCAAAGCTTAATCAGCCTAATAGAAATTATGCTCAGGCTCAGGGTGCTTGTTGAGCACTAACTCCCGAGGCCTTTCTGTGCAGACCCACGTCATTCTTGACGGCCATGTCTTCCATGCACATGGAGAACACTGAGGCTGAGGGCTGGCAGCTGTGTGGCCAGGGGTTATGCTGCCTGGTGGAGGAGATGCCAGGCTTCCCACTCTGCTGTCTGAGTCTCTGGCAGCCAGGCTGCTTAGGTTTCCTTTTCAGAAACGCCCACCCCTCCCTGCATGTCCTCCTGCTCTCACACTCGAGCTTGCAGCACACCTCTGTCCTCTGACAGAAAGTCTGATCATGGCTTCAGCGCTGACCACCTTGTGTTTGTGGCCTCTTTTGAAAAAGTCATTGTGCCTAAGGTCTCGAGGAAGACTTTCGGAGAGCTCTCAGTGAGCCCTCAGTGAGCCCGTGTGGGTCCTTTGGAGGGGGAAGGTAGAGGACTAAGGAAACGCAGGCTTAGAGACCAGGCGGGCTGCCTGTGGTCATGCTTGCCAGGGGTGTGTCAGGCCTGTGACAGGCAGCCCACATGACAGTGAGGGGCACCTCCGTGCGCTTCTGCACAATCACCAGGTGTGAGCAAGGTGAAGGCCCCACTAGAGAAGCGAGGTTGCACCCCTCCCAAGTGTGCCTGTTCCTTTTAATTTCCCACAGTCCATGTTTACCATGTAAACCTGGCATCTGGCTTAGCCAGGAGTGATCACTCTGAAGTGACTGCATCTATGAGCACTGCAGTGGTCTATTTGTCTTTCTTGTCAGTATTCAAGATGTAATTGTCTGTTCTTCCCTTGCACAAATACTACTAGCATTTCAAAAGATGGCCTTACAAATTTAGAAGAGTTTTGTATCTTCAGAGACTGCTGCACCTTGGAAGATACTTGTATATCCATGTACTGCAGTTCACCATTGTTCCCTTGGAAACTCGATTTGTTTTTGTGGCTTTTCTCTCCTTGGGAAGGTATTGGATGTACTTGTCTCTTGAATAAGAATGCCATAAAGGAATCTGAGAAACTTACCACTTTTTAAAAACTATAAAGCACATCTTTGGAACTGAGCCTTGACCATGTTATAAGGCGAAGCATTCACTGCTTTCGTGGGAGCTTTTAATTCCTCCTTTTTATTCTTTACATTTCCTTAGCTCCTTTGTATCCATGTGTGTTGGGAATTGAGCCTAGTGGACTGGATTTTTTTAAAGAATAGTTTGTGATTTTTCCCAGTCTGTTTCTAGCATTGAAGATGTCCCTTTTCTGTCTTGTGGCAAGGAATTTGGATTGATTCGCTGGAGTTCTGCAGTGTTGATAAGCTGGTATTTGTCCTTTTCTCCCGGAGCAGGAGCAGGGAGATGGTTTCCCAGTCCAGGCACAGGAGAAAGCGGGCCTCCTGCCCTGTTCCAGGCTATGTACTTGCAGGCCCTGCCCAGGACGCATCTTCACCCCTCGGGCCCATGCCCCCCCTCCCAGGCTCAGGATTGAGCACCCGAGCAAGTGCTGGTTCCTCCCTGCTGTTCCTGGCTCTCAGAAGGACCTCAGTCTGCACCTCCCTGGTACATCGTTCCTGTTCACTGTGAGCCGCACATGGGCAGGGACCATCTTGCTTTTCCCTCTCTTGGGTCTGACATGGACCCAAAAGTAACTAGCTGAATGGAAGAATCTCCTCATGAGGTAGTAGAAGTCAGCTTTTGAGCGAAAGCAAGACATTAGCAATTAGTAAATATCAAATTGCTGGGGCTGGGGATTTACCTCAGCAGCATAAGCGTCTGCCTTGCAAGCACGCAGTCATGAGTTCAGTCCCCGGTACTTATAAAAAAAATGTACATAAAAATATCAAATTGCTGTTTTGAGACAAGCCAGGGTATGTTTCCATAATTTTAACAGTTGGTTAATTTTTTAATTTTTTTTGGTACTAGGAATTGAACTCATGACCTCACCATTGCCTGGCAGGCACTTGCCACTGAGCTAAACCCCCAGCCCCAGTTGGTTAATTTTTAAAAAGCTGAAGATGTAATGATTTGTTCTGTGAATCTTGTTAAAAATTGCTCATATCAGAATAGCCAAATCAAAGTTGTGCTATCCAAATTCATGTTTATACCTCCGCCTGGCTCACGGTCCTTCATTTGCTGAGGGTCAGCCACCACAGTGAGCCTTCAGGGCAGAGGGTTGCGGTGGCACCCTCACCAGCTGTGCCATCCTGGGCTGGTGCTGTCTTGGGCCACCTGCCCAAAAGGCCAGGTTCAGAGGGATCCTGGCCCTCCCACCTCTGCGCTTTTGCTGCCACACAATGCCCAGGTCGTGCCCCCCTGAAAGCTGGATCATGGTCAAATTTGTTGAATGATTTGGCAGGACGAAAATAGGGACAATCATCAGTACAAACTTGGGAACCTGTCAGCCTCCACAGTAAGGTTGCAGGTCTTTCTTTGTGGAAATGGTTTGTTCTGTTAAAGAGCTTCCGAGAAGCAAGAGGAAAATGGTTTCAGTGACAGAGTGGGTGCCTGTGCATGTGTGTAGACTGGGTTGAGAGAAGACACAGGGTGAGAAGAATGGGGAGGGAGCATGTGTGCACATGCAGGAGCTTTGCCCATCCTCAGCGTGTGAGGTGAGGCCGTGACGGAAAGGCGCTCAGCCCTCACCTTGGCCAGGTACCCTGTGCCAGGAAGAAGGCATCTGGCTCCCTCTCGCAGAACAATAAAACAGGATCTTTGTGCGATGTTCACCCCGAAGATAAAAATGTCTCCCTGTCCTCCTGACGTCCTCCTCTGTTGTTTTTGTTTGTTTGCTTTACACTTCTTTTTCCCCGAAGGCCTTCTTCTTCCTGTTTAGATTCGGGTTGTTTGCTTAGTGAAAATGTTGTCTTGTTTTTGGACCCAGTTACCTCTGAGCTGATTAATTCTTTTTTTTTTTTTGTCTTCAGCTTGACTCTGCATGGACTTTGGAAACTAGAGAAGAAAATCCAGCTTGCTGTTTGGGGCCGTTGGATAGCCGAATAAATGCAGGTATGTATATCTGCACTTTTTTTAAAGACAAGTATGGAGCTTTGAAAAGAATAGTAGAACAGTGTTCCCAAGCCTGTGATGCTATCTGTGCTATTGTCTGTATTGTTAAAAATCAGCGTTGCATTCATTTCCAGTATTACATACGCTGAGGGTTTTGGAGATTGAGCGCCTTCCTGCAGGATCGTGCTCTGCTGCTAGCACTCTGCTTCTGCTTGCCGGAGACAGGCTGCCGGCCCTGCTTGCCCTGTGGAAGTGAGCAGCTCTCCGGCACCCATTGGACTGGCGTGACTGTGTGTGACTGGTCCTCTCCTGTGGACCGCTGTGTTTTTCCTGTTGCTCGCGGGACTATGTCTTGTATGTGCGTGAGGGCCCACTACTCTTCCCCCTAGGGCCGGGTGGAAGTGCTTCTTTGGACTCCCGCTCTGCGGGCCTGGGCAGTTTCAGGCCAGAGTGCCTCTCACTGCGAAGCAGGCTGCAGCTACTGGTTTTCTTCTCCACTTTGCAGTGTTGGGTACAGATGAGGTCTCAGTGTCTCCCGTTTTAATCAGTACTGTCTGTTGACCTAAACTTCCTGGTACTTTAATGCTTAGTCTTTCAGTCCTCTTTCCAGAAGAGTCTGGGTTTCAGACTTTGGAGAGTAAGCTGTTAAAACAGAATTGTGCTTGTTTGCAATGGTGAGATCTGCTCAGGGGTTACCTTCCTACAGGGGAGGCAGAGTTGGTAATTACTAATTTACCCTCTAACATCATTGCTTCCGCAGCAGCCACGGTTTTTTAGCTACAACTTATGTGCACATAGATAAAATAAGTTCACACCAGCTCTAAGGCATTTCTGATTTTCCACTGTGGTTAATGACTGAACACGCATCATTAATTCTCCCCAGTTTTCAGCTCGGGAAGGTTGGGCACAGGGCAGAGCGGTGTTCCACAGTGCCAGGCACTTCTTCCCACGCGCCTTTCTCATGCTTTCCTCTATCCCCGTACTTTTTCCGCGAGTGAACACACTGTCTTACTTTCCTCCTCCTGCAGTATCTAAATATAAAAGAGGACTGCAATGCCATGGCGTTCTGTGCTAAAATGAGGAGCTCCAAGAAGGCCGAGGTGAACCAGGTGGCACCTGAGCCCGGGGTGGAGGTGACCTTCTACCTGCCGGACCGGGAGCCCCTCCAGCTGGGCGCGGGCGAGTACACGGCGGAGGAACTGTGCATCCGGGCGGCACAGGAGTGCTGTGAGTGCGGGGTCTAGGTGGGGTGCTGGCTGACCCCGAGCAGGATACAGTGGGCCTACATGGCAGCCCCTGCTTTGCCTTTGCCACTGACTCCCTCCTGCAGGGGTGCAGTCTGGAGTCTGGTCTCCCAGCACAGAAGTTGCTTCTGTGCTGACACTGCTGAGCTATAGGCTGCAGAGCAGGGCACCTGGCCCCTAAGCTCATTGTGGTATACGTGCATGTGCGTGCACGTGCACCCGTGAGACAAGAGCAGTGTCGGCCCTGGTGCAGAGGCCTGCAGATCACAGGCACACCGCAGAGCTGTGGTGTGTACACGTGAGGTCCCTCAGCCACCGTCACCCTGCCTTGCTGTTATGCTGAGGAGACAGCTGGCCTGAGTGCTTCCTGGGCCTGGTCAGCTGGCAGCCATGAGGATGGCAGCCTTGCCCATCAGCTTGTGAGGTGGAACCCAGGCATTGGCCACCCAGTCCCCTCATTACTGCCCAGAGCGGGGGACACTGGCTCCTTTCACCTGCTTTCTTTGAAATGAAGCAAGCTGAATCGGCAGAACCTGGTCCCAGCCCTAAGTTCTCGAGAGTGGTGATGGCTGTGCAGCTTAGTGGATACACACTTGAAACAGGCTTCCTTTGTATCATGTCAGTTGTATTCCAAGAAAGCTGTGTGCTTGTCCTTCCCGAGCTGTTGGAACACTGTTGGGTTGTGAGGACCCTCCATGACTGGCCTGCTGGTGAAAGCCGCAGCTGGCCTGGAGCCCTGCTCTTCCTGCTGTGTGTCCTCCTGCTTCAGCTCTGGAGTGGGAAGCATGCTGTCCTCAACTCCTGCTTGCTGGTTGTGGCCCGGCATAAAATGCGCTACGCACAGTGGAGAAACGCAGTAATAGTTTGCAGTTATTCTGATGAGCAGCAATGCACATGGAGCTCTAGACACCGAGCAGCTCTCAAAATGCACAGCTGTGAGCCCTGCAGGTTCTCTTGGCACTCTAGGCGGTCACCGCAAGTCATGTTCACTGCAGTCCGGTTTCTTCCCTGCTCTTCACCTGCCTGTGGTGGAGCGCTTTGCTTTTAGTTCTCTTTGCTTTGTCTTCAGGGGGACCTCATCAGGGGGGCCCCTCAGCCCTAAGTGTTACTGTTGTAGCTGAGTAGCCTTGACAGGGCTGTCTCCTCATAAGGTGGCAGAAACCAAGAGATAGTAAACAGAGCCTTAGCAGCAACTGCCAGTGCTCGCATGTAAAAAGGCGTCTTTGGTCTCCTGTGAGGGGGAGGGCAGGGTGTTGTAGTCAGACCTGCAGTAGAACTGCAGACAGTTCTGCAGTTGCATGTAAACTATGCTTCACACAGGATGTGTGTGTTCATGTACAGATGTGTCTGCAGAAAGTCTCGGCAGCAGGCCAGCCCACAAAAGCCGCCTGAAGCAGGCCTTGTAAGACTGGACCCACAGCCGCTGGCCTTTGTTCCCGGGGAAGTACTCTTTGAGGTGCAGCTGTTCTCTCTGTCGATGAGGAGCCAGCTTCCACCTCAACTGGGGGTCTGACTTGAGGCGTCAGGACAGTGCTCAGGCTTCGCCAGGACACCTGCAGCTTCCTGACTCTGAGTCTGTGGGCCAGGCCAGGCTGGGCAGGGAGGAAGGGACCCTGGCAGTGCCACTGCATTTCAGGGGCCTGAGCTGGAAAGTAGGTACCAGTGACCTCATTGTCCCCTACATTCTGTGGTTATTTGAGTTCACTGTCTCGGCTTGAAGCCTGGCTGGGCCTGGAAGTGTCAGTAAGAATTGGCTGTTGGCCTTCAGCTCCCCTACACATGGGTTGAGATGCCAGGCTTTGAATGCCATCTTTCTTGGGCACACCAGTGGCGCCCTCCTTTCTGGACCTCTTCCGCCCTGCTTACTGTTGGACAGGCGGCCTGCAGTTGCGGGGCAGTGGTCGCTGGGCCAGCTTGGTTAAACTGTGTCTTCTCGCTAGTAGGCTAAGAATGTTTATGGAGACAGTACAGAGCACTTAAGCAGTGCATTTATTATTAATGGCGATAGATTTAATCACTGACAAGATCACTTTGGTTATTATTTATTCTGACGCGCTTTGTACACTACTGCCAGGAACTTCTTTGCATGTTCAGTCACCCCATGTGCTAGAACGGTTTAAAGGTGGCTTCATGGGAAATGGTGAGGAGCTGAGTGTTGTAGCCCCTGCTTAGCACAGCGCACAGCAGGCAAGATGTGTGCGCCCTCCTGGGGCCTTTTGATCGTTTAAGCAGGATTGACAGGACTCCATGATAGCCACCTATAATGAGAAGCATCATCAGCTGCTCTCTCTAAACAACTTGAGAGTGGTTTTCCAAGAACTATGTGTATTTCCTGGGATCGAGGTTCTCGATTAGTGTGGTTAAAATGCCTGCCTGGAAACTGGCTGGAAGCTGTGCCCAGGTGCCTTCTGCGGAGGTGTCATCTTCGCACAGCTCAGGCTTTGAGACATGTGACAGTGCAGTGTGTTTCCTCACAGTCTCTGATGTGTCCCTCTCCCCAGGTATCTCTCCTCTGTGTCACAACCTCTTTGCCTTGTACGATGAGAACACCAAGCTGTGGTATGCGCCCAACCACATCATCACCGTGGACGACAAGACGTCCCTCCGCCTCCACTACCGCATGAGGTATGGCACTGGCCTGCTTTCCTCTTGCTTCTGAGTCGTTTGCCAACGGTGGCGCTCCTTTTTGCAGTTTGTAATTTTTGCATTTGCTTGCTCTGAGAAAGGACTTCCTCAGTGTCTGCAGTCCAGTTGGCGATGAATCTGATGCTCTGCTGTGGCTTGGAGAAGCCAGGTTCAGGGTGCAGACTGTTTGCAGTCAGGTCTCTGTGGTCTGGCAGAGCTGTCCTTAGGGTGAATCATGGTTGTGAGTTAAACGTAGTGGGTCGTGACCAGAACTGAAGAATAGATAATATCAGCATGTAGACAAATCCCAAGGACATGATTTTGAAAACTTTTGAGGTGTGTGATATATTTATGTATGTATGAGGTCATGATATAAAAATACAGTCTTACTAAAAGCGGTAGCTGAGAAGTACTGGAAGTACAGCCTAAGATGGTAACCAGGGTTGATAGTGCTTTTTGGGAGTGGTATTCTGATCAGGGAGGAGCGTCTGGTTGTAGGGATGCGATTCTCCTTCCTATGAGCAGTGCCTCTTCTTGTGTATTGTAGACTCTGCTTGTTGTCAGTGTGTCTGAGCTTACCCAGTCGGTATTTCCGAGCTGCAACCCCTTACCTTTAACGTAAGCATTTCTGGTCGTCAAATGGACTTAAAAGTGAGTTAGAGGCTAGTTATGTGATTAGCAGTGGAGCCTGCATAGGGGTGGACCTTCTTGGAAAGGCTGTTACAGATGTGTGATTAAATCAGCAGCTAGTTCAGACGCAGGTAAGATGCAGTGTGCTGGAAAGTGCTGTGGAGTCTCGAAGTTTTTCCATGGCATTTAGCTGTCGTTCCTTCAGGAATTTGGTAGAGCAGTCACCACTGCATGACCATGGTGTGTTTTCCTGGAGGCTAACCCCATGTCCCTCTCCTGATCTTCTTAGACCTCTTTCTCTCCATCCTCTACTTACCTAGCATCCCTGCTGATAGGAGAGGATTGTCCAGTGTGCGGTTTCTGACCCTGCATTCAGGACAAGCTGAACCTTCTGACCGCATTTAGGTTTGTTTTTTCCAGATGTAACCTTGCTGTCCCTGGCCGGGGGGTTTGCTGTGTGGTGAGCACTAGGTGGGTCCTCACAACCGGAAGTCCAGGCAGGTATACACTGAGTTCTAATTCTTTCCCTTGCGGTTTCTGAGCTTACCTCAGAGTCCAGCCGGGGAGCATTTGGGACGCGGGAGAGACTGCAGCTTAGGCAGTCAACGCTTCCATTTTCCAGGTGGGGAACCTGCCCTGCAGACAGGAGGGAGGCACTGAGTTCACACTAGGGGTTTGCCCTTCGAGCAGCAGCTTTTGGTGGCTGGAGCAGTGCTCACTGTTAAAGTGTCATTGCTCACTCCCCATTTCCATAGTGGTAGCGGCCAGAAAGTCACTTTGACTTGATCCTGACACTGCCTGCAGCAGGATATGCTTTGTTATCTGTCACAGGCTCTTGGAACTTGAGAGAACTTGAGCTGAAACATTTGCGTTATGCGAACTGCAGGACTTCGAACCTCCGAGTCTCACCATAAAAGGCACAGTGTGATCCCAGTTCTATTTGGGGAAATAGTCTTCAACTTCACTGTGGTCTCTAATTTTTCCATAAAGATTTGGTAATTGCTGTTTTATAGGTGAATGTAAGACTGTCACATTTTTTATTCCTTTCAAAAGAAAGAATCCTGCTTTTCCGTTCAAGTGCCTTTCCCTGCCCAGCAGTGAGCCCTGCGGAAGGACAGACTCATGGTCTGCAGCGTTGCTGTGTAATGCGGGGCGCGGGTGGCTCCTGAGTGCTCCCAGCTGGCACCTCATGAGCAGAGTTGGGACCCGCGGCCCGTGCCTGCCCGTGCCTGCCCGCGCCCTGTGCCTCCGAAAGGGGTGTGGGTGGCAGTCAGGGCTCCTTCCCTTGTCACTTTTTTCCTCTGGTGTTCATGTTGTCAGGCGTTTGTGTGTACCAAGTTGGATGAACACACTGGTATTTTAATTTGCATTCCTCATAAACTGACCATTTAACTACTTACAGGTGTTTACAGGTACAGAGTAAGGTTGGATCTATGAATCTAATGTGAAGCAGTTAAACCCAGATAATTAGTGCTTCCTTGTCTCAGGTGCCGACTTTTTGTGGCGAGCACATTTACAGTGTACGTCAGCCATTGTGAAACGTGCGGTGCATCCTGTTAGCTTTGTCTACCACACCCATGGATCTTGTTTTTAAACACTTGTTCTTTCTGATAGTTTGAGCTCTTTTGATGTTATCAATGATTCATTTTAAGAAGAAATGTAGAATTTGCCAGTTCGTTAGCAGTTAGAAAAGGGTTGGTGTTGGTCACACTTTTGTTACTTTTGACATGAAAATGTCAGCCTTTGCCCATAGGTGGTTCATAGGGACTCAGCCTTGTGTTACTTATTTAAATTTTTCCACAGGGTATGTTTGGGATACGTAGCTCACCATGGGGTACTTACTGGTCCAGACTCATGGGCTCTTGAACCCTCCCCTGCTCCATCCCTAGCGGGCTGCTTGGCCTCCTTTGCCCTAGCAGCCTTTGCTGTAGTGAGGCAGCTGCCCATCATTTGATGCCCCTTCCCCGACATGTCTGAGCTTCAGGTCGCAGACTTCCCTGCCAGAGATGGTCCTACAGAGCTTCCAGGTAGATGTCCAGAGCAGTGCAGGGAGCCTGCTGGGCCAGTGCAGGGACACTTGCCTTTGCTGTCTCAGCCTCCCCCGTCTCCAAGAGCCGTGTTCTCCACACTGCAGGACATCACTGTGTGGCCACAGTCCCATGTCCTCTCAGCCTGCCTGCGGCCTGCATCCCCCAGCCTTGTGTGCAGCAGCTTCTCTTCCTGCTGCTGGCGTGCAGCGTGGACGCCGGCTCAGCCAGCCACTCCACTCCCTCCCATCATGTCCTGGTGGGCAGGGACAGTCCAGCTGCCCTGCAGGCCTGCGGTGGCCCACACAGCCATGGGACCCTCGGCTGAGTCCCAGGCCTGTAGGGCTGGGAGAGAGGTTTTCGCCTCCGTGACTCTGCACCCACTCTGTCCTGTCCATGCAGCACGCTCCCTGTGTTTGCTCCTCATGTTATTTTCATGTCGGCGTGCAGTCAGCACTGTGCGCAGGCTCTGGGGCTCCCGGTGCTGATGGTGGGTGCAGCATCTGCGGCTCCTCAGGCTCCCCTGAGTGCCTCCAGAGGTCCCTGCCTTAGGTGGCTCCGCTTGTTGCTTCTGGCCCAGGGACAAGCAGTCTACCTGGCACAGTGCCCAGGACCGGAGTGTGATTTCACTGGCTTTAAAATCCTGTCTTGGGACCGGCTCGGTGTGGCCCCCTTCACATGGTGCATAGCCTGTGATGTCTTTGGGCAGTGGGAAGCGAGTGGCTCCTCCAGCACTCCAGGGTCCCCAGCACAGGTGACACTCACCTTGTTGCCTTTCAGGTTCTACTTCACCAACTGGCACGGGACCAATGACAACGAGCAGTCAGTGTGGCGGCACTCTCCGAAGAAGCAGAGGAATGGCTATGAGAAGAAAAAGGTTCCCGATGCAACCCCGCTCCTCGACGCTAGCTCGCTGGAGTACCTGTTCGCACAGGTGGGACGCTGGGCCTTATGAGAGGTGACGGCCCCTCTGGTGTGCTCTCCAGGCCATGCTGCCGCTCTGCCCCCGCACTGTCCCTGCGCACCCTGGTCTCCCACAGTGCCCTGTGTGCGGAGGCAAGGGGTCACCCTGCTGGGCTAGCAGGGATGTCCAGGAAGAAGGAGGGGCCATGGGGATCCTGGTGAGAGGCCCGCCCACCATCTGCTGCCCTGTACTGGCCCTCTTGGGGACACGCTGTCACCACCTTGTGTCATGCAGCGCTAGAAAAGGTTACATTCGTGCTGTTTCACAGCCACTTTATTTTTACTCCATTCTGCAAGGGGTCACTGAAGTGCTGGTCATGGTGTTTCTCAGTGTCATGGCACATGGCTGCAGTGGTATTCACCAGGACTTGTCCTACCTGCTCAGCCTTGAGGTCCTGGGACAGGGGTCCGTAGGTCAGTGGGACACACTCACACACTTTCTCTCTCTCTTTCTCTCTCTCTTTCTCTTTCACACACACACACACACACAGAAAACATGAGCTTTGAGAATGAGGCTGCCGTAGGACCCTTAGCTGTCAGTGCCCATCTCCGAGGGCTATGGCTGAGCAGCACGCGCCTTGCCAGAGGTGGCATGTCCCCGCAGGCAGGGAACGGATGCCCTGTGGAAGACAGATTCCTTTGTGTTCCTTGGGATGGATGGGGGCTATCAGCTCCCCCTGCATTCCGGGACCTGGCCATTTGGCAGTGTTGGAGGCCAGGCCAAGGTACCGGCCTTACTCGGGTGCACGCTGCTCGTCAGCCTCAGGTGTGCCAGCCTACAGGGTGCTCCCTGTGTTCCTGCATCCTCCACATCCCTTGTTGTGTCCGGTACATGATCCCAGGGCTGCACCAAGGCCATGTGCACCCCTTTCTCTGCTGGGGGTGTACCCATGCTAGGGCAGCTAGCTGCACGCTTGTGTGGAGCTCCTCCTCACGCTGGGAAGCTCAGCTCTGGAGCTGACTCGTGCTTCACCTTTGCCCACAGGGACAGTACGATCTGGTCAAGTGCCTGGCTCCCATCCGCGACCCCAAGACGGAACAGGACGGGCATGACATCGAGAACGAGTGCCTGGGCATGGCCGTGCTGGCCATCTCCCACTATGCCATGATGCGGAACATGCAGCTGCCAGAGCTGCCCAAAGACATCAGGTGCGCCCAGCCACACTCAGCTGCGGTGCCCCGGGGTCCTGGTCTCATGGAGAGGGGCTGCTGGTTGCTGCATCCTGACGCTGGCCAGGAGGCTTAGAGATCTGCACTGGGGTGGGATTTCTGCACCAGGTGTACTAATAAAACCAGTGACCCCAGCCATGTGCCCCTGTGGATTTCTCTGCTCTGTGTGGGTCTGTCGGGCTGCTGTGTCCCCAGCTCCAGTGCCCATGGAACCCTGGTGCTTCATTCTGATGGGCCCAAGAGGACTGTGTGCCCCTCAGCATAATCCCACTGTCTATGAGATGTGTAGTCTTCTCACCACTGGGCTGTAGAAATTGTCATAGGGGCCTGAGGCAGGTCTGGCTCTGTAGTCCATGCTGGCCTTGAGCTCGCCCATAGCCCAGGCCGGCCTTGAGCCTTTGGTGGTGGCCCTGCTTCAGCCTCCCCAGTGGTGGAATACAGGTATATGGCCCCTCACCCAGCTGAGACCACTCATTTTCAGGGATGGTCTGAGACTGCATGGTGTCTGCCAGGTGGCACGCTCTTCCTAGAGCGGATGTTCCTACTTATTCTTGCGCTGGGCCAGCAGCAGTATAGGGACTGATTCGATCCACGCAGAGCAGCTCTCTTGTTTTCTGTGGCCTTCACTCTGGGGCTTTCTGCTTTGTTTTTTCATGAGGTTGGCATGAAAAATGACAGCACCTCTCTAATTCTGTCTGCCACGCTATGGGAATCTTTTTGTTGAGGCTGAGTCTGGTTGTACTGCAGGACAGTACAGGTGCCCACACTGGGCTCGGCAAGCAGACTGCTATCCCTGTGGACTCTGCTTGCTTCTGTCCAGGCTCACAGGTGCTCTCCTGAGGACTGCTTTCTGCCCTGGGCTTTCCCTGCTTGTTCCTGTTTGTACTTTCCCCTCAGGAGTTGTGTTTGCATAGCATCCCCGAGCCATGTGCTCATGACAGGCACTTGGCTTTTTTTTACATCTTGTAACAAGCTGTGCGACCTTTTTGGAAAGGGTCAGGTGTGGAAGTTCCCCAGGACGCCTCCAGCCTCCCTGGTGGACACGCCCTCCCGCTGGCTGGCAGGGTGTGCCATGGCCAGTACTCAGGCCTTGTGTCTGAGCATATCCGTGCATACCAGTGCAGTGACACTACCAGGCCACTTCACAGCCTGTGCTTGTGGCCTGGGATGCTGGGTGACGCTGTCGGAGGCCTGTGTCTGTGAACTCTGGGCCTGCGCTGCCTGTGCCTCTGGTCTCTGTCTGCCTCCCTCTGCTGTCGCCAGCTTCCCCTGCCACCCTCCCTTCTCACCTGGTGACCTGTGCCAGGAAGATTTGTGGACTGTTTGTTCTAGACTGTTGTCTCTAGACTGTTTCCTGCTCACTGGTCTGTGAAAAAGAGGTCATTTTCCTTTTTCATTTTATTTTTTAAGCTACAAGCGATACATTCCGGAAACGCTGAACAAGTCCATCCGACAGAGAAACCTGCTAACCAGGATGCGGATCAACAACGTTTTCAAGGACTTCCTGAAGGAGTTCAACAACAAGACCATCTGTGACAGCAGCGTGTCCACGCACGACCTGAAGGTGAAGTACCTGGCCACCTTGGAGACCCTGACAAAGCACTACGGAGCTGAGATATTCGAGACGTCTATGCTGCTGATCTCCTCCGAGAACGAGATGAGCTGGTTTCACTCCTCCGACGGCGGGAGTGCTCCTCTCTGCTATGAAGTGATGGTGACTGGCAACCTCGGGATCCAGTGGCGGCAGAAGCCAAACGTGAGTGGCTGTGGGGCAGGGAAGCCGTGTCCCATGGCCCATGTCTTAGCCGGCCAGGGTCCCTCCCGGCCGCCGAGTTCCTGTGCAGTGGGGGCCAGGCATGCGTGGGCAGTTCTGCTGTCCAGGGCCAGATTGAGATTAGGCTCACAGAGGGCCAGGACAGTCTCCGCGCAGTGACAGCACAGTCACTTACTGGCTGCTTGCTGTGTATTGAGCAGTTTGTGTACTTTAGTTCCTTTATTTCTAAAACAAAAGTCCTTGGAGAGGAGGGCAGTGCTGGTTACTCCGTTCGCAGATGAGCTCAGCGGGGCATGGATATGGGCAGCCCCTGCCTGGGGCCCTGCCGTGAGCAGTCATGGAAGTCTCAGGGTGCCCCAGCTCCCAGAGCAGGTTGTGCCAAAGCTTCTCCATGAGGCCTCTTGCGGAGTGCAGGGAGACCTGGTTCGCTGTTGCTCCTCTGCCCTGCGGCCCAGTGGTTCTAGGTGGGTCACTTCAGTGGACCATAGAGAGTGGTTCTCAGATGTTGTGTCTTAGCATCCATGCAGGGATTGGTAGTGGGCCTCGCAGATCCAGGTGCATGGGCGGTCAGGCAGGTATCTTCCTTAAGGCAGCCCGTGTTTGTGTGATTGCAGGCCCCGTGGGCCATCTGCTGTGTGACAGCGCCCAGGGAGGGATGTCATGCTCTGCCACCCTGGGCGCTGGCTGGATGAAAGGTCTGGGTGAGCTCAGCATGGACACTGCTCTGGGCCCGACCTAGGTTCAGTCTCTGGTGGGTGCCAGGTCCTTGACAGTGGGATGGGAACACAGAGGCCGCTGTCCTTACTGTACCTGGCTCACAGCATGGGCGAGGAACTGAGTGCCGCTCACAGAGAACCTGGCGCTGGAGAAATCACCAGACTGCGCTCCTGACCACAGGAGCAGTGGTGTTAAGTCAGGCCTGAGCCTTGCGCTCTCTGGCTTCATCTGCGTGCGGAAATGGTACCTCCCTTTCCCAGGCTTTCTGTGCAGTGGATGCTGTACTTGGGGAGCCCGTGTAGATGTGGGTCTGCCTGGTGCGTGGGAATTGGGCAGGCTCAGAGATGGCCCAGTGGATGAGGGCACAGGTGTGCCCAGGAGCATGGCTGGAGTTGCTGCTATTCCTCCTGCCCTGTATTCCTCAGGGCAGAGGCTGTCAGGCTGGAGTATGGATCCTGGCACGGAGAGCTCCCGAGTGCTGTCCAGTCGGGGTAGGACTTGGCCCTGCCAGGTATCCCAGGAAAGATGTGCCTCCGCCCATGGGGAAGCACTGCGATGGGCTGGCAGTGGGTAGGCCTGACCGCAGATGCCTGTCCTGGGACAGTTCTGTCCCTCTCTAGGCTGACCCGTACACTGCATGTCATGTAGTGTTCAGACGGTGTGGTCGCCACAGTCTCTTCCACGAGATGTCACCAGACTCCCTGCTGACACTCAGCTTCTGTCCCTAACCCTGAGCTCCCAGCTTTCTCCTTCCTGGAGCTCGGCCGTGCTGAGATTCCAGAAGCTGGTGTGAGATAGGAAGGAGGTCACCTTAGCTCTGTCACCTCTGTGCACTTGTCAGGTTGTTCCTGCTGAAAAGGAGAAAAATAAACTGAAGCGGAAAAAGCTGGAAAACAAACACAAGAAGGATGAGGAGAAAAGCAGAATCCGGGAGGAGTGGAGCAACTTCTCCTACTTCCCAGAAATCACCCACATCGTGATCAAGGAGGCCCTGGTCAGCATTAACAAGCAGGACAACAAGAAGATGGTGAGTCTCTTGCAGGGTTGGATCGGGCAGTACTTGGTTCTCGGGTCCTGTCTGGGAGGCATCCTGATTGAGGCCAGGCAGGACTGGGGTTGGCTCGAGGCATACTGTCTCAGCCCTGTACCTTTTTTGGTCTTACAGATGCGACTCTGCCTCAGGGCTGTGGGCTGAGACTCTCGGCAGCTGGGTTTTATTCCCAGACACTTACAGACCTGAAGGGAGAGGAGCTTAGTGACTGTCAGGGTTTCCCCAAGGCCCGTGCATCTTGCACGGTTGGGTCCTCTGGACAGGCAGGACGTCCAAGCAGGTGTTCACACAAGCGGCAGGCTGCTGTGGCCTCCTTGGGGTGTGGGCTCGGCACGTCCAGCCGCTCACAGAGAGGGAGGGTGATCTTGCTCACTTCCTCCACGGCAGCACTTGGGGATCTCCTGTCAACACGCAGACCGTTTGGCAGGGGAAGTGGGAGCTCTGTCTTGTAAACATGTTTGTGTCTGAGGAAGTCACGCTCACAGCACGTGGCGAGGACAGGTTTTGGGGACATGCCAATTGCAGAGTGGAATGTGTGGCCGAAACAGGGCAGATGGGTGTCATATGGGGTGACTGACTTGGCTGGCAGAGACTTTTGAAAAACAGCAGGCGACCTGTGCTGAAAGCCCTGGGAGTGTCTGTGTCCTTCCACTGGGAGTGCAGGAGTTGGGGGCCATGGGCCATGCTTTATCCAGCAGGGTGTGCACTCCAGCAGGACCCCCAGACCCCGTAGAGGGCACAGCCCAGGCACTCACCAAGGGGCACTGTCCTCCACAGCCAGGGGGCCTGGGTGTTTTACTGATTTGGGAAGATGGTTTTGTAAATGGAAAAAAAAAATCAGTGTGAAACCTCACCTAGACTGGTGCAGGTGTATTGAAATAATTTGTAAGAGGTAACCATGTACAAACACAAGCACTTAGAAAAGCAATCTACATGTTAGCGGTTCTTCGTGGTGCAAGTATCAGTAGGTTTGATTTTCTTATTGTCTCTACTTTTTAAACAAAAAAGTAGACATTAATTTTCTCAGAAAAACGTGTTCGGAACGCAGTTAAATGTGCCGAGAAACCCAGAGATGCACTCGTGGGGAGGAGGATGGAAGAGGAGGGGAAGCCAGGCATGCTCTGCTGCAGTCCTGGGTGGAGCCCCACATTCTCTGTGTGCCCTTGGGATGCCGAGGTCCTGTGCCTGCATCACTCACCCTCTGGTGGGCTTAGACACAGGGGTCTGTCCACTCTGCTTCTCCTGGGATGCCAAGCACCAGAGGGCAGGTGCCTCCACATCCTGCCCAACTCGGGCTCTGGGACCTGAGAAGCAGGAGGAGCCACAGACAGGAGGCGGTGTGTGAGCCCGTCCCACTACTTGCCAGGGACACAGTCCTGTCTACACCTATTGGTGGCCTGAGGTCAGGCCAACTTCGTGACCCGGAGCCCTGCCCAGCTGCTGTGGGTGGGGGCAAGGACATGCAGGCAGGAAGCGGCCTGGGTCCCCTGGTGCACTGGCCCTATCCTCATGCCAGACGCTTCCTGCCCAAGTGTTCCAACCGCAGCTGTCCTCTGCCAGGGAGGAAGCGCAGCAGTTAAGGTACCTGCTGAGGACATGTAGCTGTTAGGTGCCAGTACTCAAGACTTAGGGATAGCTGGCATTCTGAGTACGCTCCCGGGAGCACCATGCAGACTTTTCCCGGAGCCTGGCCTTGCCTCTGTGCCTGCCCTCATCCCCTCTGCCCCAGCCCTGCCCTCTCTGCAGCCCTTCAGGACCAGGGGACCAGAGGACGCCAGTGCTGTGTCACCTCAAGGTCCCGTGTGTCCACAGAGGAAGAAGAAGCCTGTGGCTGCAGTCCACCCCACAAGGAGCTCCCCATGACCCTCGCTGTGGCTGTCTTCTCCTTCCAGGAGCTGAAGCTCTCTTCCCACGAGGAGGCCCTATCATTCGTGTCCCTGGTGGATGGCTACTTCCGGCTCACGGCAGATGCCCACCACTACCTCTGCACTGACGTGGCACCCCCGCTGATTGTGCACAACATCCAGAACGGCTGCCATGGGCCCATCTGGTGGGTTCTGGAGACATATCGGGTCACTGCCCACTTCCTGGAACCCTTTTCTCTGTCCGCACGCCCTGGGCTCTGGCCAGGCCCTCCTGTCTCCCTTTGAAGTCTGAGCCCCTGGCTGAACCCCTGACCAATCCTCTCAGTTCTGCTGCGGCCTCAGCATCACACAGTTCTGCGTCAGACCATGCTCGTGTGGACAGATGGGTGCTGTCTGGGAGGCCCCAGTGATGGGGCAGCTCCTCCCATAGGCCCTGCGTGGCCCTGCTGGGCAAGGCCTGCCTGTGCCGCTACTTCCGACTTCCTTGCTGCTGTGGCTGCAGACGCAAGTGGACAAACCTGTCCTAGCCACCGGAGCCGTGAGGTGTGGTAGTGAGCCCAGAGAGACCCCAGCCTGATGGCACGGGGAGCCAGGCCCCTTTAAAGTATCATCCTCCAGTGTGCCAGCCGAGGCTGCTATCCAAGGCCTGACCCTCCTGTCCCTTGACCAGGAGAGCCCTTCCCAGGGAGCGGCTCATTCCACCACTGTGGGGTCCAGTCCACAGTGCCCTCATCTGGTACCTTTTTGTGACAGCTCCTCCTCTCCCCCAGCCTGCTGTCCCAGTTGCTCTATTCTGCTGTCTCTCTCTTCAGAGGCAGTGGCTCACCCCTCCTGCATGGGACCACTGTGTGTCCTCGGCCCGCCCTGCCCAGGGCGCCATCCACTTGCTGCTGCTAACCCTGCACTGTGGCAGAGCTTGCACCTGGTGGGGCCGCAGGGAATGCCAGGAGTGGGAATCCCAGCAGGCATTCTGCCATTGGGGTCGAGCCCCTGCCAGGTCTTAGGGGGCTGGGACATCCTGGAAGAGGCTCAGCCTGTGCGGAGTACGGTAGTGCTCAACCCCCAGCATAGTTGGGAGGGACGCAGGTCCCCACCTTCCACGGGCTGCTGACCTGGCCAGCCTTACCTGACCTGCACCTGTAGAGCAGTATTCTCTGGGCCTCTGTGTGCCCAGCTGACCTGCTGGTCGCGGGGGTGTGGAGGCTAATGATGCAGGTACATCTCCTTTTCCGTTCTCCTGGACATGCCCCTTCACTTTGGTCATGATTGACCACTCACTGTGGTCTCTGGCCCATTGTGGTCTCTGGGGAGACAGCACCGAGGACACAGACCAGCTGGGCTCCCGGCCCACCACAGGCCATGCCTGAGAGAGGTGACAGTGTGCCTGGAGTTTGGGGACAAGTGTGTCTCAGTGGCTTGGGAAGCAGTGGATGTCGGATGCTGTCTCTCTCACCTAGCATCAGGGAAGAGGCTGGGAGCTGCGCAGGGGTTCTAGGAGGTGGGTATGGGTTGGTGCGCGTGTGGCTGAGGGCCCCCCCCCCCCCGCTCCCTTCTGCAGCACGGAGTACGCCATCAACAAGCTGCGCCAGGAGGGCAGTGAGGAGGGCATGTACGTACTGCGGTGGAGCTGTACCGACTTTGACAACATCCTTATGACGGTCACCTGCTTCGAGAAGTCTGAGGTCAGTGGGGATGGGCTGGCCGCTGCAGGAAGGCTGCTGTGGGCAGAGCCTGGGCTCAGCAGTCTCACGCAGTCTGGTGGGAGCTGATGCACTGCCCGGCCCTGTCTTCCGGGTGGCCCTGCTCCTGCAGGCCCGCAGGCCAGCTTCCGTCCGCATGCTTGCCTTGTCTGGAGTGGCTCTCCAGGATAAGTGGCAGCAGCATCACAGTGTGGTTCCTTCTGTAGGGACAAATGTCAGCCTCGTCCCTGTGGCCGGATACTGTGCTCCCCTGTGGTAGGACAATGGGTTCAGAGCCGAGTCGCCCTCCTGTGTCTCGACACAGCAGCGCTGTCTGGTGGGGGTTGGGGGACAGCTGAAGCTGAGAGGGCCAGGCGGGAGCCCCGAGGTCTGAGCATTGTTGACTCCTTCACTCGCCTTCGACTTCCCTTGATACTCGTCAGTGTAAGTGCATGCTGGGACATTTTAGAAAACGAGGAATTCGTGGAATTCATTAAGAAACCTGCCAGGCACCGTACCAGGTGTCTTAGCTCCTTGTGCCAGGGTAAGCCAGGTGGTGGCCATCTGAGGTAAATGGTGGCATCCTGTGGAGTTGCAGACTTCTTACTTTGGAGTACTTTTAGAGGTGCAGAGATGGTCCCAAGTTCCCTGTGATCTTCCTCAGCATTCTTAACTTCATATTCTCTGTGCTCTAAGTCACTTGCGGTCATTTTTCTGGACAGCAGGTGCTGGGTGGCCAGAAGCAATTCAAGAACTTCCAGATCGAGGTGCAGAAGGGCCGCTACAGCCTGCATGGCTCTGACCGTGGCTTCCCCAGTCTGGAGGAGCTCATGAGCCACCTCAAGAAGCAGATCCTGCGCACCGACAACATCAGCTTCGTGCTGAAGCGCTGCTGCCAGCCCAAGCCCCGGGGTGAGTGGCCAGGCTGTGTGGTGCCCACACCCGCCAGCAGACCCTGGCCCCTTTGGGTCTGCAGCATTTCGCCTTGAGCGCTGGTACAGGGCTGCCTCGGCCTGGCTTGTGGGAAAGCACAGACCCCTGCTCAGCCTTGCAGCTGCAGGAAGGACAGAACCAGCACCCACAGGAGCTTTCTGCTTCCTTCCCAAGACGCAGTGTCCTGAGACTCCTAGCTGGGCTTCCTGCCTGAGACACCTTCCCAGTGCAGCTTCCTATGGCCAGAGCTGCTCAGGTGTGAGGGGCGGGTACCTGTTGTCCAGGGCTGCCAGTCTCTTCCACAGTACCTAGCAGTGCCTGATGGGTGTGAGGGGCTCAGTGCCCATGGGTACTACACCCTGGAGGCCGAAGGACCACTGGCCAAAACCCAGAGACGAGGCTGGCCAGCTGCACGGATGATGAGCCAGTGCTGGTTGGAGAGGATGAGGCCAGTAGAGCAGGCACTGTGTGGGTGAAGCAGCAGGAGGGCTGGGCTCAGGGTCAGCTCCAGGCAGAAGCAGATGCACCCTCCTTCAAGACGCAAGAGCTCTCAGGAAGGATGTGTGGAGGGCACCTGGTTGAGGGCCTCGCCTCATGGATAAACCGGGACAGAGAAGGGAGGTGGGCTTCCCGAAGGGCTGAGGGACACTGTGCCTAACTCAGCACCAGGGCCCTGAAGCATTGGGGTTTCATGCTCCACCCCAGCCCCAGCCCAGGACGCTGCCTAGCAGGCAACTCGGGCCCCTTGGCTGGAGGCCGAGCTCCAGAATGGCAGGAGCCTGGCTGATGCTACTGCTGCTCAGAGTGGCTCCCACAGCTCCTCACCCAACCCGGGCTTCAGATGTAGGGGTGTGTGGCCGGGACATGGAGAGCAGGGAGCTGTGGGAAGGGCTTGGTCTGCAGGACTGCAGCCCAGCTGAGGAGAGGCACAAGCAGTCAGCCTCGCCTGCCTGGCTGCTACCTGGCCCCTGGTACTCCAAGGCTCCCTGATGGGTCTGCATCTTCCCGGCACTAAGATGCAGGCGAGGGATGAGCCTGGCTGGTACTGGACAGCAGTGCCATGTGTTGGCCCTGACAGCAGTCACAGGTGAAGAGGTGTGGCTCAGGGGCACTCGGGGCAGGAGGTAGCAGGTGATGGTGATGATCATGAAGGCTGCTCTTGGTGGGAGAAGTGCGCTTTTAGAACTGCAGCGTGCCTGTGCTCAGAAGGGCACTCCTAGGTCACATTCAGTCTCTGGGACTCCCAGGCTGCTGCCCCTCCGGGGCATTGCTTAGGCCAAGATGGAGCAGGCACTGGGACTCATCTGCCAACCCCAGCCCTGTTGGTTCCCTGCATCCCACTGTCTTTACAGTGTGCAGGTGCCATGTGCCCGGCCTGGGGAGCCCAGGTTGGCAGGGCCAGTGAATGAGGAGATGGCATGACACAGGTCCCGCTTCTGATCCTCACAGCTCCTCTTCCTTGCCATTGCCAGCAAGAGAAGCGGTGACATGGGGAGAGCCTGGCTGGCCCAGGGCCCCTATGGCCCAGCTCCCTCTCTGGATTTCTGGGGGGAAGCTGCTTCCCCGAGGGAGAGCAGGAAGTGAAGTGAGCACATGAGGCTGCTCAGAGTGGGTGTGAAGGTCTTTTGTGCCCCACGGTCACCTTGGACCCACGGCAGCCCTTGAGGAAGGGGACCCTGTGCCTCCCAGACTTGTAGCCAGCTCGATGGGTGCTGAGCCTGTCGTTGCTCAGTAGCATCTGGCTCCTGGGTTGAGCCCCCAGCACTGCAAAGCCAAAAGCTCACCCGTGTACCCACTGTACACTAGAGCACAGAGCCCAGGCAGAGAGAGCAGAACCGTCCTGGCTTCTTGGTGTTTCTGCTCTGCAGTGTAAAATCTTGTCCTGTGAGGATGGCGCTCACTGGCCCCTATGAGGACAGGGCCTGCATGCAGGGCTGGGCTGCCATGGGCATGATGCAGCCTTCAGACTGGTTGGTCAGTCACTACTGCCTCTGGCTCTACGGTCAGCGTGTGAGCTCCTGGACCTCCCAGGTCTGGTACCGATGCCATACTTACGTGCCAAGTGGCAGAACTGACATGGACAGGAGCGTGTGGCAGGTGTAGTCAGCCGACTGGGGCTTTGGCACATGGGAACCAGAGACAGATTCCCCCATGTCTCCCATGCCCATAGAAATCTCCAACCTGCTGGTGGCCACGAAGAAAGCCCAGGAGTGGCAGCCCGTCTACCCCATGAGCCAGCTGAGCTTCGATCGGATCCTCAAGAAAGATATCATGCAGGTAAGTCACTGCTACGGTCCCAGGGAGCCCCAGGATGGAGCATGCAGCCCCGGTCCAGGAAGATGGTAGGAGGCAGCAGGCTTCCCTTTCACCCTGTGACCCCACACCCTGTCCTGTGGTCCCCACACAGCAGCCATGGCTCTGTCCAGGTGTGTCTGACCTGTTCTGCTGAGCACTATCCTTGCTGCCTGTCCTGCTGGTGGGGCCAGGAGCTTTGTGTCCTGAGATTCTGACCCCAGAGCTGCAGGGCCATAGCCTGCCTTCCGTCTTGGACCCATGCCGTGCTGAAGCTGCCTGGTTTCTTGCCCCAGGCCATCCACATGTGCCCAGTCAGCAAAGAGGGGTGTGTCCAGTGGCTGGGTGCTTGCTGCTGTGGGCACCTCACATGGAGCTCCTGGTTGCCTAAGAGGGTCACCAGCAAGACCCACCTTCTGAACAAGGGACTGTGGGACCTGCAAGAACTGTGCCTTGGGGAAGGCAGGCTGCCCAGTGGAGGAGCGTCACAGCAGAGGCTCAGAGGCCAAGCAGCAGGACCTCTGCCTGGCCTTGAGCAGCAGGGCAGGGTACAATGGACCTGGGCTTTGGTGGCTGGTCTGGCCACTGCCCGGTGTGAGTCACTGCTGGGCATGCGGCTTCCTGTGACAGCAGCTCCCGTGAATCATCACAAGGACCCTACAAGGTGCTGAGGTAGAGTGGACCTGTGACTATTCTGCCATGACAGGTGACGAATGATGGCATTTGTGCAAATTTGGAGCATAAGACTAATTTTTCATCAAGGTGTATAAATGTGGGTCTAGATCCACATTTATACTTTGGAATATTTCTGTTGAATATTCTTTAATTTTAACTTTTCGAGTTCAGCACTATTAAACTACAAGTAGTCTACCACAAAAGTGAGCTTTGTTTCAGGTGTCACAGCCACAGCAGTCTTCACACATGACAACTGCATGTTCCACACACAAGTATCGTTCACACCGATAGGACGTGTGTTCTATTCTCCTGTTGTTGTCGTAGGTCCCTGTGGTGCTGCACCTGCCTGCCCACCAGTCATCTCTCCTGTGTGTTCCACAGTCTTTTGCGTGGATCCCTGGGCAGAAACATCTTGTTTTCCCTCTGCTGTGAATGAGCCCTTAGGAGCTGCAGTCCCAGTCCTCTAAGAAAGTCTCTCCATGATATTTTGCACTTGTTGTTTTCTTGGGAAACTATTGAACTGGGCAGCACATGTATAGGATCAGATGAAACACTCACTGGCCAGTGCCTTGTGCTTCAGGGGCTGTGTCATTGCTGAGTAACTCATTAGCAGCATCCATTCCGTGTTTGGTTTTGTTGTTGAAGTTTCCATCTCAGGCTTCCGTTTTGTCAAGGTTTCCCTATCAGGATTCCCACCACGGTGCCATGCTGACATGAGCAGTAACAGTTTGCTTTTCTTTGCCATACACAAGGCTAGTATTGCATCTTTCTGACGTCCAGATTGTGCTGTACACTTCTTTTTGCTTAGTTCCCATGTACAATCCCTGTGCTGGTCCGCTTGTGTTCTGTGCACAAGTATAACATCGGCAGAAGCAGTACGACAGCTGTGGAGTGTCACTTTCTGGTTAGTTTGGGAGATGGGAGAGCAAGTCTGCTCATAGTATTCAGTTTATTATCGTACGAGTAAGAGTCTGATGGCTGGGTTCTAGGGTGAAGGTCTAAATCGAAAGCTGAAGTCTTTGCATCCACAAGGACATAAGTTTCTGTACTGTATTTTGATCCATTGCTTTTCCATAAATCTCCTGTGTTCCGGCAGTTGCCATGAGAAGCCTGCGTTCAGGACAGCAGATCTGTGAATCCTTTCCTTCAGCTAGCGGGGCGTCACAATAAATGTGTCTTTGAATGTGGCTGTTGGGGCACAGGAGCGTTTCACTTGCATTTCTGGTAGCATTTCATTTGTCGCAGTTTCCAACACTGAATGGCAGTGCTGCCTTCTGTCCGGTATGTTTCACTCTTGGCAGGAGCTTCGCTATACTTTTGGACCTGATGCTGTCTTTCTGTTTGGGCGTGTGGCCATGTCAGTGTGTCTCAGCTGTGAAATATGTGCTCACACTGCTGTCTTCTTTGTCAGGTCGTGCAGGGAGGTCTGGATACCCTGTGTGTCGGTCGATTCTTGCTCCATTTCATTGTCACACCCATACCATTCTCTATAATATGTCACCTTCATCCACGCGTGAGTGATCTGATGATTCACTTTCCACCTTCTCCAAGACTTGGCAGATCTGCCTTTTCATGTGCCATGGTACTATATGGAAAAATCAAAAGAAAACTTTTTTGAAAAGCATCCTGGAGGGGTACGGATGTGTTGGACCCTCTGTGATGCTTGTGTAAGCACACACCAACCCAGTTAGACGAAGCGTGCTGTGGGTAAAAACCTCGCTTTGCCACTTTGCGCAGGCACCTGCTTCTTGCTGCTTGTCACACCAGGTATGCTGCTTCCCGGTGTCCCCTTAGGGAAAGGTGCTGAGAGTGAATAGCCTGCTATCACAGTGGCTGGGCCCGGGCTCTTGCCCTGTCCCCAGCAACTGATGGCACTTGTTCCTGCGGGTGCAGATGCTCCCCTGGGTGTCACCACCGTCCACTTCCACCTGTGAGGGGTCCTGGACCTGTGATTTACACGTTGTGTGGGGCTGAGGCCACTGCCTGACGCGAGGGTCTTGTGAATCACAATTTGATTTTGAGATGTTAAGAGTGTAGAAGCACTGAAGCGCAAGCCAGAGGGGTGCTCGGAGAGCTGTTGTTACCCACAGCAGCCCACTTGGTCCTCAGGCTGCGTCCCTTGACCACCCTGCCTATACCTCTGTGCTCAGTCACCTCTGCGGGCATGCAGGGGATGCAGGAGTGTAGCATGCATGTGCACATGTACAACAAGAAGGGTGGCTGGGTGGGCAGATGCACCCTCGTGAGAGACAGAGCCTGTGAGGGCCAGTAGCTTTCAGACAGGGGAAACTCCACCAACATCCAGGCCCCGCTTGGTTCCAAGCAGCCTTCTGATGCAGGGCTGCTTCCAGGACAAGCAGAGAGCCTGGAAGACAGGTGGCAGAGTGAGGAGTTCTGTCCAAGTGTGGAGGGACCTGAGGGTCCTCCCCATGTCTGCCCTGGGCCTAGGCTGGGGCTGCTGTTACTGGCTGTGTCTGCAGGTTGTGATGGTTCAGCACAGGTTTGGTCCAGGAGTCAGGACCATCTCTGGGGACAGGAAACAACATGCCACGTCAGTTTCTCCTGCACACCACAAGGACAGGGCTTGGCAGGCCGAGAGCTTGGGCCTTTGGCTCTCTCCCTGCACAGCTGGGGCTCCCATTAAGGACTTGGTCACAGACACAGCCGTCACTCAGCTGCAGAGAGGCCACCAACTTCTGCCTCCCCATTAGGGTGAGCACCTCGGCAGAGGTACTAGGACGCACATCTACTCCGGGACACTGGTGGATCACAGGGACGATGAAGGCACCGCGGAGGAAAAGAGAATAAAAGTGATCCTTAAAGTCCTGGACCCCAGCCACAGGGACATCTCTCTGGTGGGTACACACATACACCCGTCTTCCCATCAGAACCCACTCCCCAGTGCAGGCCCTGCCAGGCTCTGTGCGTACTGTGCAGCTGGGGACAAGCTGAGCAGCCTCAGGGCTCGCCCTGCCAGTGTGAAAAACCCAGTGGTCACCTGCTTCCCAGGACACCATGGGTTCCAGAGGGCCACAGCAGGTCTGGGCTGGACATCTACTGCCTCAGTTCCCATCACTAACAGCGGCCAGCCCTGCATCCTGTCTTGTCTCCTGAATCAGTGTCCTGTGGCCAGCAGGCTTGGCCAGACTGTGGGGACAGTTTTCAGGGCGGGGGGGGGGAGGTGACACCTCAAGCTGCCCTGGCACCAACCCTTACTGTCCCTCTGCCCCGCAGGCCTTCTTCGAAGCAGCCAGCATGATGAGGCAGGTGTCACACAAGCACATCGTGTACCTGTATGGTGTGTGCGTGCGTGACGTGGAGAGTAAGTGTGGGCGCTGCCTGGCTGGGGGGTTGTGGGGTGGGCTGTCGGTTGGTGAGCCCCTGCTCTGCTGCCTGGGGCTCGGCCCAGGTGGCACCTCAGGCCCTGCCATGCACTTGCCTTGTGGCTGAAGCCAGGGAAACTGGTGGCCTCTGCCTCCGCTCACATGCATTTGAAATGAGAGGGCTTTTTTCTTTTTTCCTGTGCACTCTGAATTATTTTCCTTTGCACTGAGCTACGTCTTCAGCCCTTTTGTTAGTTTTGATTGTGAGGCTGGGTCTCATTAAATTTACACCCTTGGGCTGGGGTGTAAATTTAGCTCAGCGGCATAAGCACCTGCCTTGTAAGGAGGCAGTCGTGAGTTCGATCCCCAGTACCAATAAAAAAGTTAAAAAAAAAAAAAATTCACACCCTTCGCAGGCTGGGCTCAAACTCCAGTCCTCCTGCCTCAGCCTCCTGGCTGGGAGTACAGGTTTGCTGGGGGAAGGGTTCTCATTCCAAGGCCCACAGAGGGCCGGGAGTGCTCACCTGCAGGTTGGTTGGGGAGCTGCCTTCCACCATGTGGTAGAAAGATCCGGCATCAGACAGGCTACAGCTCCCCTGTGTGACCACGTCAGTCCCCCCAGACTGGGGAGGTGGTCCCAATGTCCCCGGGCTCAGGGATCAGGGGTGTGATCTCTAAGAGGCCTCGCTGCTCAGGTGCTCAGATGAGGGGAAGGCAGGGCTAATCAGGCCTCTGCAGGGGGAAGAGCCCGTTGCATGCACCTCGTGGGTTGTGTGTGTGTGTGTGCATGTGCACACTCGTGTGGGACCCAGGCCGTGGGCTGCCCAGGCTCTGGGGAGGGGGTGACCCTACCCCGAGATAGCGGCACCCAGCAGCCGGTCCCTGCCATAGATATCATGGTTGAGGAGTTCGTTGAGGGGGGACCTCTGGACCTCTTCATGCACCGCAAGAGTGATGTCCTCACCACACCCTGGAAGTTCAAGGTTGCCAAGCAGCTGGCCAGCGCCCTGAGCTACTTGGTGAGCATGAGGCCAGTGGCACGCCTAGAGTTTGGTGGAAGCAGCTGTGTGGCTGCCTTGTGGGGCGGGGGGAGCTGTTGTCCGAGGACAGATGGACGCCTTGTGCATGGGAGCAGGGGCAAGGTGTGGCTGCTGCGTGCTTGTGTGGACCTCCCTGGGAGCAGACATCTGTCCTGCTTCTCCCTGGCCACATTCACTGTATAGCCCCAGTCCCTGTACGATCCCATGTCGTGGTCCTGTAGGGTGAGGAGGGGTCAGGCTGCCTGGCTAGATGCCCCTTTTCGTCCCACAGGAGGACAAAGACTTGGTGCACGGAAACGTGTGCACCAAGAACCTGCTGCTGGCCCGAGAAGGCATCGACACCGAGATCGGCCCATTCATCAAGCTCAGCGACCCTGGCATCCCCGTCACCGTGCTGTCCAGGCAAGGTACGTCCCAGGCTGGCCCTGCAGATCAAACAGATTCACGCAGTCCGTGTGCAGAATCACTGGGCTACATCAAGTGTGCAGTGAGGCTCCCCTGACAGCCGGGGAGGTGCTGCGCGGTGTGTCCTGGCTGAGAGCCGAAGCCTCCAATGTGCAGTGTGCCGAGGCCCCACAGGGAGCTAGCTGTGCTCAGCACCCTCATCCGGAGCAATGGCTCAGGAAGGAGCCAGTGAATCGCCAGTCCTCTGGTTATCTGGTTGGAGTCCTGGGCCTGCTGAGGGCTGAAACAGACACTGGTGGCAGGGAAAGCAGAGGAGCTGGGGTCATGCAGGAGAAAAGGTGAAATGGGCTCCCTGTGGCCGTGGCTGTGCAGGGACAGAGGATGTCCTCACATGGTCCTCATGCTATACTGTGCCCAGGAGGCACAGAGAGCAGGCAGGAGGCAGACAGGAGGAGGTCGGGGCCGTCCCGTCTCTGCTGCTTGGCAGTGGGGGCTGCTCTGGAGGCCACTATGCTGGCCTTGTGCAGCTCGGGCAGAGCTGGCACAGGCTTTACTGAAGTCAGTGGCTCTCGCCTTGATTAGAGGCCACAGAGGTTACAGGTGCAAGGGCTCCAGGTTTTGGGATTCAGTGTTGGCTGTACCTGTCACTGGCAGCTCCATGAGGGGTTAGGGCCTCTGGATGGGCTTGGCCTCCCGCCTTCTCTTCTTTGAGTCTCTCTGTTCCTGTGTATCCCTGCCCCCTCCCCCATGGCACCTCAGGGGTGCCCTCCTGCTCTTGGGGCTGTACCCTCTTGAGGTCAGTGGTAAATGATTGTCCCCAGCCCAGCAACCATACCAGAAGTGCCAGGGAAGCAAGGGGCAGCAGGGTTCGGGGACCAGCTGAGCCCCGTCCTGTCTCTCCCCAGAGTGCATCGAGCGGATCCCCTGGATCGCCCCGGAGTGTGTGGAGGACTCCAAGAACCTGAGCGTGGCTGCTGACAAGTGGAGCTTCGGAACCACGCTCTGGGAGATCTGCTACAATGGCGAGATCCCGCTCAAGGACAAGACGCTGATCGAGGTGAGTGTATCGCGGTGCTGTGTGCTGAGGGGCAGTGAGCATGGCAGCACTGACACAGAGGACAGACATGGGCTGCTTCCCTTGGGACTGGGGGCAGGCGAAAGGACGTCCCACGCTGCAAGCAGGTGCTGGAGCGTGCAGCTTCACGTGGTTCTGTAAAACTAGTGATTTCTGAATTTTAAAGTAAGGCTGTTGAAATTTTGGGAAATAGAAAAAGCTATTAAAAACAGTCATCTCTGATGACTGTTAGCACCTGGGCACTGGCCCTCAGTCTGCTGCCTCTGTCTTGGTAAAAGCAGGCCCACAGCTGATGTGCTGCAGCGCCTGAGTGCTTTCCTATGAGAGCCTCGATCTGCCAGTGTCCAGCAGTGTGGCCTGAGCGCTGGTCACTTCACTTAACTCTGACTGTGCCCCGGCTGCACAGTGGGACTTATGTTGTCTTCAGATTCCCTGCGTCCTTGCCTCTGCTTGGCACTGAGCCCACTGTGAGGGGCACTTGTCAGGTGGGGCCACAGGCCGAGCTGCTCCCTGCAGCTGCTGCCCTGGTCTCCTGGAGCCCTGGGTCTCGCTGTCAGTGTGGGGCTGGGACCCCACATGCTTATTCACAGAGCTGGGAGGGCAGGCCCTGGGCCAGGCGGCTCTGAAAGCACCAGCTCCTGGGTCCCACTGAGTCCTCTCTTTACAGAAAGAGCGGTTCTATGAAAGCCGCTGCCGGCCCGTGACGCCATCCTGCAAGGAGCTGGCCGACCTCATGACCCGCTGCATGAACTACGACCCCAACCAGAGGCCCTTCTTCCGTGCCATTATGAGGGACATCAACAAACTGGAGGAGCAGAGTAAGTGGGGCACTAGCCAGGGTGGTGGGGCGGGGTGAGGGGGCACTGGGGCTGCTCAGTGCCCTGCTCCTCTGTTCTCTCTTCCTTAGATCCAGACATTGTTTCCGAAAAAAAGCCGGCCACTGAAGTGGATCCCACACATTTTGAGAAGCGCTTCCTGAAGAGGATCCGCGACCTGGGAGAGGCAAGTGTTCCCAGCTCTGGGACAGGTGTGCCCTCCACTTGCAGTAGTCACAGGCCACCTCCGTGCCTGGTCAGAGTTGGAGAGGCCCCTGGCCATCTCCTGGGGGACAACTTTCCCCACTCCACAGGCTGTGGAGTGTGCCTCCCTGCCTGCACATGTGACTGCCATGGCTTGGCTTCCGGGGGGTCAGGTGTGGACAGGGGAGCCTGTGTCTGCCTGTCCTGGGGGCAGATACCCAGCAGAGCTCTGCAGACAGGGTGAATGGACAGCACAGGGTGACCAGCAGCTCTGCCCAGGCTCCAGTGTGACCCAAGGGACACTGAGAACTTGGCTTCTGCACAACTGTCTGCCGTGTCTGTCATTGAACAAGGGCTGTGGTGTCTGGAGCATCACTCGGGTTCAGGGCAGTGTCACAGCATGTGAGAGTATGGCAGGAGCTGCTGGGGCCTGGGCTCCAGAAGCCAGCTTTCCCTCTGAGCGGCCTGGCTAGGGTCTGAACACGCCTTCAGGGCCCCTAGTGTGCACGCAGTCCTTGGGGACAGCTGTGTCACACAGGCCCAACAGCTGGGTGTGCATCTCTCCCTCCCTGCAGGGCCACTTTGGCAAGGTGGAGCTCTGCAGGTATGACCCTGAGGGGGACAACACCGGGGAGCAGGTGGCTGTCAAGTCCCTCAAGCCCGAGAGTGGAGGCAATCACATCGCTGACCTGAAGAAAGAGATCGAGATCCTGCGGAACCTCTACCACGAGAACATCGTCAAGTACAAGGGCATCTGCACGGAGGATGGTGAGGGGGAAGACAGTGAGCAGGGAGGACAATGAGGGGGGCGGCGGTGCCCAGCTCTACCCATGCTGGCACAGTGCTGCAAGGCATGCGGGGTAGACCTTGTGCGTCGAGGCAGGAAGTCCCAAGCAGTCGTGTTACTCTGACATGCGGTGCATCTCTCGTTTCCTTGGTCTTCATCTTTTGTTCTCAGCCAGGCCCTCACTGCATCGCCTGGGCTGGGCTTGGACTTGTGCCTCTGACCCCTGAGTGCCGGGCCGGCAGCCCTACCCCCCCAGGCCTGGCCTGGCGCAACACTGTAACCCTGGGTCTCTCGGTAGCCAGCACACAGCTGCTCTCAGGGGCAGAGCTGGTCCACGGAAAGAAACCTGGGTGTGTAGCCTCTAACTGGTCCACATCGACAATGAGATGTGCCTCTTAGAGCTGCGGTGAAACCAGGGTGATCGTGAGCCTGTGGTCAGCTTAGGAGGCCCTGCCTGAAAATCAGAATCAGAATCGAGGCAGTAAAAGCAAACTGGTGGTGGAAGGACGGGACTCAGAAACTATAGAATCCTCCCTGGCTTAGCAGTTGACACATGGAGGTGTGCTGGCTCTGGCTTGTGAGGAACACCAGGCCTGAGTGTTGCCAGGCCCCTCCCTGCTGGGGACCTGCTGTGCCTGAGGGTGGGGATCCTTCCAACTGGTGCTCAGGGCTGACGGGATGGGGCTTGTCCTGCACAGGTGGAAACGGTATCAAGCTCATCATGGAGTTCTTGCCGTCAGGCAGCCTGAAGGAATATCTGCCTAAGAACAAGAATAAGATTAACCTCAAACAGCAGCTCAAATACGCCGTTCAGATCTGCAGGGTGAGGAGTAGGCACCTCGGGCACAGGCACGGGCATGGGCACGGGCAGGAGCAAGGTAGGGCAGCTTCCACGGAGACCCTGGGAGCTGAAGGTGGAAGGCAGGAAGTTGCAGCGACACTTGCGCCATGCAGCCACGGGAGTGACTGACACTGCGCTGCCCACTGTCTCCAGGGCATGGACTACCTTGGCTCCCGGCAGTATGTCCACCGCGACTTGGCCGCCAGGAACGTCCTCGTTGAGAGTGAGCACCAGGTGAAGATCGGAGACTTCGGACTCACCAAAGCCATCGAGACTGACAAGGAGTACTACACGGTCAAGGATGACCGTGACAGTCCTGTGTTCTGGTACCAGCACCGGCCCCAGGGTCAGGGGTGGGCCCTGCAGGACAGGTTCTTTTCAGGTGGGGCTCTGGCCCGAAGCCTGGAGAGGTGCATTCTGCCCACCACACAGGGCCCTCGTGGAGGCTTCAACCACAGCTCACACTGTTCCTGCGTCCCCATCCACACACACAGGCCTGCGCTAGGCAGCAGGGCGTGGGGGCAGCATCAGGGACCCCCAGTGCGCCAGCTAGGAGGCCAGGTGCTGCCCGCAGCCCCCTTTGCCCTGGACCTTCAGCTCTCAGCCCCATTGCAGCTCCCGGAAAGCACTGGCCCAGGAGGCCTAGCAGGCTGTGTGGTTCCCGGAAATGGGCCAGGTGCAAGGAGGGTGCGGGGGACACAGGGCAGGATGCGTGCCAGGGCCACAAAGGTGGTACTCTGAGCTGAGCTGTGGGGCCGGCGGCATTCCAGAGTGGGGCGCCGCAGGAGGTGGGAAAGACTACTCCAGATCCCGGGGCAGAGGGAGCAGGCGGGAGCCAGGGATAGCGGCTAAGGGTGGGGCTGGACAGTAAGAGAGCACCGGTCCGGGAGGTCAGGAAAGCAGACTGGGATCAGGACGTCGGCCTTGGCTCCTCTCGCGTTGTCGCCAGCACAGGGCACCCCAGATAGGGTGGTGGGAGGGCTCCGTGCATCATGGCGGCGCTGGGTCTTTGGGTGTGGAGAGGGGAGGGGCATGTCAGCAGTGCCAGGTGGCCAGGCCACACCAGAGGGCTGGTGTCCCGAGCTGTCCTTCCCCAGACCTGAGGGCTGGGCTGTCTTGCAGGTACGCGCCCGAGTGCCTGATTCAGTGCAAGTTCTACATCGCCTCTGACGTCTGGTCCTTCGGGGTGACGCTGCACGAGCTGCTTACCTACTGCGACTCTGACTCTAGCCCCATGACCGTGAGTCCGCCCCCTCTGCACCAGCCCAGGCTGGAAAGGACCCTGTAGGGGATGCACTGCTAGGTCTCCCTGCTCCCCACCACTTTAGTACCTGATGGTTAGGCTGTGAGACTCGGTCCTTGGCTGGCACGGGCCGGTGTCCCACAGGTCACCCTCCTTCCTGGTCCAGATAGGGACAGGTCGTAGGAGGGCGAGGGCGTGTCAGGCGGGCAGCCTGGGGAGGGCTCCGTGGCGCCACCCGTTCCATCACAGGCCCCTTGGGCAGGGGGTGGGCAGAGCCCTAGCTGTGATCATGGGGTTCCACGTCTTCAGCTAAGGACACTGAGGGAAGTGTGTTCCTGACTTTCATTTCTAGTTGTCTCACCGTCTGCTCGGTGTGAAGTTGAGGGCTTTGTTTGGTCTTGTTTTATGTAGTTGTTCCTGAAAATGATAGGCCCCACTCATGGCCAGATGACTGTCACCAGACTGGTGAATGCCTTGAAGGAGGGGAAGCGCTTGCCGTGTCCTCCGAACTGTCCCGAAGAGGTACGAGAGGGCCCCAGCAGTGGGGCAGGGTGGGGTAGGGCTCTGGAGAAGCACTAGGTGGGACCTCAGAGATGCCACCTTGGGCCGGGGACAGGGATGTCACGGCTAGGTTCTCCAGGTACCACCAGCAGAGCCTGGAGGAGGCCGTGGCAAGGGCTTCTCCTGAAGCGCTCAGCGTGAGCTTCAGGCTTCAGCTCCCCTCTCAATGGGGCTGCATCTTGGGGCTTCACTGCGGCCACCAGCTCCAGGCTGGGCTCCCTGTGCCCTTCATGGCGATGCTGGTGACATCAGCAGCGCTAACATTCCTTTCAACTGTGATTCATATACTGAATCTCCATTTCTGTATTTTAAATTGTCCAAATATGTCTATAGTCTTAATGAAAGCCATCCTACATGTCTACATGTCTAGGTTTATTTTCTTAACTCAATGTGTCTATAATTCTTCAAAAGGCTGTCACATACAACATTTTTATGTTACTATTTTTTTTTAACCTTTCTACAGGTTTATCAGCTTATGAGAAAATGCTGGGAATTCCAGCCATCCAGCCGGACGACCTTCCAGAGCCTCATTGAAGGATTCGAAGCACTTTTAAAATAAGCAGGAATAATATTGAAATACTGTGTATCCAGCCCTCCCACCCTAGCAAATACCCCAGACATTTTAAAAAGGGACAGAAAAGCTGTGCTCTGTCTGGAAGGTCCCGCGACACACGGGTGTGTGTGTGAGGTGCATGGGTGCCAGCCAACTTCCTCTTTCAGTCGGGCACCTTGAAGTCCGGTGACAAATGTGACCACCAGAAACCCGGAAGCACTTAAGCACTCCTCTGGAAAGACCCCCTCCGCCCTGGCTGATAGTCACCTAGTCACCTGGAGAGGACTGGTGCCAGCGGGAAGGACCTGCCTACCGCCCATTGTCTACCCACTTGGGTGACAGTCGCTTTTTGCGCATTAACTTTAGGCAGGAGCAGGTGGCCTTGGGGCCAGTACTGCTAACAGCAGCCCTGCAAGGCAGGCCAGTGCTCTGAGGTCCCCTCCTGGTGCCCTGCAGGACTGAGCTTGCAGTGAGTGCAGGGGGCGCAGCTGCCATCTGCACGCAGTCCGCTGTGCCCTGGCTCTGTGTAGGAACTGTGGGACCTGCACCCTGCCGCATGTGACATCTGGAGGACTGCCGCACCCCAGTGGTCTCACCTAGCTGGACAGATGCCCCATCTGGACTCCACGACATATGCTTTAAAATGCTCCCACATGGGAGCACACTGTGCGTGGGCAGAGTGGACCCGCAGGCATCATGCTGTTCTTGGTGACCTCAGGGTCTGCAAGGTCCCTCTGGGGTGCAGTGCCTGGAGGAGACGCTGCTCGTGCCCCAGTGCCGCGTCCGCTGGAGTTTGCCAGTTGTCTGACGGAGGCTGAGCCTGAACCTGAACCCGAGGCTCTGTGCCTGGCGTCAGCATGGGCTCTAGTCAGCGCTGTCCTGGGGTGGCGAACCCCGCCTCTTAGCTCGGTCCCGGTTCCCTGCCTCTAAGCTCCTCTGTGTCAAACCTGTGGCCACTCTGTATGCACTTTGTTTACTCTTTATACAAATAAACGTACCGAGGACTTCACTGCACGTGGCTTTCAGTGTGAAGCATTCACTTTCACAGCACCCCAGACAGTTCGCTCACACGGAAACAACAGGACGGACCTCTGAGAGCAGCTGGGTTGTGGCCCTGTCACCCACCCTCTCCCTCTGCAAGTCCCCACTGTATCATGGGACGGTGGGTGCAGGCCAGACGGGCAGTGAGTCCACGTGTGCTGGGACTGAAATCCCCTCAGGTACTCAGCCTCATGCCTGTGTCACAGTCCAATGTCCTCCACTTGCTGACAGCCACAAGGGACAGGAAACAGGGCTAGGACAGGGCCACCACGCCCATGCAGGACCTGCCGCCTCCTGCTGCTGCCACTCGAAGGGAGGCGATGCGCAGAAACGGGCCCCGAATAGCTCCATAGCTGCCCTGTCCCCTGTAGGTGTCCACATGTGAATCAGACCAAGGGGATTTTTCACGAGGCACAGAGCATGCGTGCCAGCTCGGTGTCCTCAGTGAGGCAGGAGAACTCCGTCCTAGTCCAGTTTGGTGTGCCCCAAGATGGCAAGGTCTTTTTAACGAGCTGGACCCACGGACTGGGGTCACCAAGAGCCCAGACTCCCCTCCATTCCACCCCTAGCACAGAATCCCCAGGTGGCGAGAGGCTGCTCATGAGTTTGATGCCAGTCTTAAGAAAATGGTGATGTCAGAGGCACACTGAGAGGCAGGCTGGCACCTTTAGCCTGCTGTGACCCTGGAGACAAAGCAGAGTAAGGTTCTGCCCAGGAGCGCCAGCTGGCTCGGACCTGCGTGCTGACTGCTGTACGGACCAGTGGCATGGCAGCCAACCATCTGAGGCCATTCCTTGTCACCCTATGACACGCAGAAACCTGTGTCCCTGCCACGGACAAGTCTGTCCCAGAAGTTAAGGTGGGTCTTGAGGTGAAAGGAGAGGCAGGGCAGTGGCCAAAAGTCCTGGCTTGGCCGCACTCAGCACTGGAGCCCCAGAACTGGGCCGGAAGGCAGCCTCACAGACACTTGCTGCTGTAGGTGCCCCGCCAACGCTGGGAACGGACTGTCCTTGCCTAGAAAGCTGCTTGAAGGCAGTGGTGGGGCGAAGTGGGCCCCAGGGTGTCTGCCAAGCCCTGTACAGGTCACCCCAGTTACCCCTGCAATACCCCGCTGTCTCCCAGGCACCCAGTTGGTGGGGGGTCACAGAGGAGTGTGGGTGCCATCCCCACGGGTGGTTCTCTCACACACATGCACACACACACGCACCCCATTACAGGAACAGCTCTGAGCACCACACGTGGCCTTCCACTGGGGGAAGCACACTCAGGTGCGCCCAGCTTACAAGACGTTATTCTAAGGCTGAGGAGATGGCTGTTTCCCGTTTATTGCTTCAGATTTCACACACGGTGTCACGATGGCCCCTGGTGCTGACACGAGGACAGTTGTGGCAGTTTCTCCAGAGAGCTGGAAGTGACAGTCACGTGCACACGAAGTGGTTTCGGCCAAGCTCTCCTTCCCGCTGCCTCTGGGACGTGGCAGGGAGCCGGATCGGACCCTCCGGAGGCTGTGGCCTTTGGGGTGGGAGACAAGGCAGCGCCGGGCAGCCAAGACTGCCTGGCAGGCGCCCACACTCAGGACACGCGCTTCTTCTTCAGGTAGGTCTCCACGTAGCGCACAGCCATGCCCTGGCCGGCCCGTTCCCCTCCGTCCCCCGCTGCCTCAGGGCTGGGGAGCAGATAGGCCGAGCTGCGCTTCTCCGTCCGCAGGGGGGACACCTGGGGGAGAGCAGAGCGGGGTTAAAGGCTGAGCCAATGGTGGGTTGGCCAGGGAGCTGCTGGCTGTGATGGAGTCCACCACCACCACAGCTCTGGAGGGGACAACAAGGAATGGAAACCGGGAATCAAGAGAAGGAAGCATCCACAGCTCGGAGACAGACCACAGGAAAACGACAGGGTCTGAACCAGAACATCTGGCCCCTCGGGTTCAGAAGCAGCTCTGGGGCTACTGACTTGGGGAGCAGATCCCTGGGAACCAGGGGCACTGGACAGAATTGGAGCCACAGGAGTGGGGGGAGAGGGGACTCGCCAGCCAACGGCAGGGTCTTTTTGCCTTCCTGAGCCTGCAGAGACTGGGACACCGGGGACCTGGCAGGCCTGAGAGGAGTGTGGCTGTGGAAAGGGCCGGTGGCCCTGGGACCTGCAGGAGAGTGGGAGAGCCCGTCCACAGAGGCAGCTTGTGAGCGACTCCAGACCAAGCATTGCCTCAGCCCTGGGGACAGCATGTGGGCAGGACAGCTCTGGATCGGGGTGCAGGGTTCCAACCGGGATGCAGTATAGCCTGGGGAAGGCATCAGCTCTGGACCCCCATGTCACATTCCCACAGTGACCGAGAAGGACTGGAAAGTGACCCCAAAAGGGGCAGCCTGAGGTACACGGGCCTACCCCGGGGCCAGAGGCCAGGCCAGCCCGAGGCATCCTTGCCCTGATCCTACTGCCTGCGGTGCTGCCTCCTGCACAGGTCGGGGCGCTGACTGGCCTCCATCTTTACCAGTGTGGGGAGGGACACAGCCCCAGAGGAAAACCAGCGGCCAGGACCACAGGGAAAAATGCGTGTGTGTCGTTTTGCTTTGTTTCTGTTTTTTCTTTCTTCTTTACAAGTTTACTGGGATTTGGGGAATTTCCCTTTGTCCTTTTTCCTTATTATTTATGTCTTTCTCTTTTTTCTCTTTCTCTTTCTTTTTTTTGTACTGGGACTCCAACTCAGGACCTGGTGCTTAGCAGCCAGGCGCTGTGCCGCTGGGCCGTATCTAGGCCCTTTTTCTTTTACTTTTTTCTTTTAATTTTTCTCTGTTTGCTTCTTTTACTCTTCAGTTTTTTCCTCCTCCTTTTCTTTCATCTTCCATTTTCCATTACCCAGTCCTCTAAATGTCCTGCTGCTCCCCATTACGCTCCTCTGGCCCATTTCTGTCTCCTCACACAGTTTAAGGTGTCAGATTTTTCTCTTGTACTGCCCTGTTCCAAAGCCATAATCTTATTGCTATAAAGCATTGTTAATCTTTGGATCATTAATTGTAAAATAACTTTTGAATTACTTTCTACTGTTAGTGGAGATAACACCTTTCACATGTAGTACACGTTAGCTGTAAGTATGTGTGGGTGGTTTTAATGTTTACACCACAGTTGATTTCTTCTTAAGGGTTCAGGGTGGTACATAATTGTTTTTTTTTTTTAAAGAAATGGCACACAATTTCAAAACAAGACATTAGAAGAGACAATGGTTAACACATTGCATATTGTTATCTTCAAAGTAGTTGCTCATAATATAAGATATAGGCATGAAAAATTGATCAAACAATGTAGGCACAAACCTTTTCTTCACTGAACTAATAGCAATTAGTAGTATAACTAAACTCCAGTGCGTGTGTTTATATGTGTATTTTTCCTTTTCCCTTCTTTTTTCCTTCTCCTGACATAATTGGTTTTAAGATGTGTTAATCTTAAAACCAAGTTTATCTTCAGCAACGTCATTGTAGCTGATTTGCTTGACAGAGTCATATACTTGCTGCTACCAGTGGGTTTTCTCCTTCAGCTAACCGCCAGACAACATTTGTGACGTTGGAAATAGTGGCATGTAATCCCCAGAGGACGTGGGTCATTCCCCTCCCAAGATAACTGCGGTGCTCAGGCCTTGGGGCTGAGGCAGACTACGGTTAGCCATGCCCAAAACACACCACTGAGGAGCTGTGTCTCGAAGCGAAGCCATACAGAGAACAGAACAAAACAATAGACATGTAAGACAAGCAACGCGGTGCCTCCCAAATCCTCACCTACCTGCAAACAGTCCTGGGCACTTCAAGGGCAAGAACAGCGGGAGCCACGCACTCATGTTACCTGGGAGGACGGAGGACGGAGGACGCAGGAGCAGGTGAGAGGCACTGGCACGCCACAGAAGGGCTGAGTAAACGGGCGATGGGACTCCCAGCCAAAGTAATGCAGGGGCTCTCGGAACACACCGATAAGATGCCAAGCGAAACAGCACAACACAGGGATGACCAGTCTAGCAAAGAATGAGTCATGAGTCAATCAGAAATCCAGGAAATTAAGAGTTCTACTGAAAGTAAGGCCATAGAAGTGACCAATGCGAAGACAATTTTAGAACTAGAAGGCAAGGATGCTTTCAAAGACCCAACTACTGAGACACCTTAAAATAGCAATAAGAAAGTGGATACTTTTTGATCCAGCTGCTGCTAGATGGTACAAAGTAAGACAAGTGAAATAAGCAGAAAATGAGACAATATGCACTACATTAAAACCTATTAGCCAGGTATGGTGCCACATGCTTGTAATCTCAGCACTCAGGAGGCTGAGGCAGGATGACTGCTGCAAGTTTGAGGTCAGTGCGGACTACATAGTGAGTTCAAGCCTAGCCTGAACCGCACAGTATACCCTGTCTCAACAAACCAAACAGAAAACCAAAATCTGTTCACAGAAATAATGGCAGAAAACTCCCCAAATATAGAGAAAGAAACCTACAGGTAAGTGAGCCCTTTAGAATCCATATATATAACCATGAGCACAGGATCCTCTCCTTACCACGTTACACCTAGGTACCAGAAGATGCCACAGGACAGAACCTTCAACACTACTGGACAAGGGTAGCAAAGCACACACAAAGGTAAACCCATCAGAATTACCGAGACTGCTTAACAAACCTTGCAGGCAAGGCAGGCTTCCAGTGTGATGTTGTAAGCCTTAAAAGGTAACTTCTAATCCTGACTTACGTATCCTGCAACTCTCCTTCAAAGCTGATGGACAAATAAGCTATTTCCATGACAAGAGCAAGCAGGAAATTCATGACCCAAGCCAGCGTTAAAAAAATTCTCGGGTACAACTTAGCAGGAGACAGAGGCGTCAGCACCATGAGTCCCGGTGAGTGACACACAGTGCCAACCCTCCTTGTGATGGCCGCAGTCCCCCACCAACAGATACAGATACAGACTGGCAGAATGGGCCAAGAAACAAAACCCAAAGTATGCAGTATGCAAGAAACACATGTAATACTAAAAGAAACCCACAGATTAAAAGTCACAGAGGGGAAGCCACATTCTGCACAATGGGAGAAAGCAAGAGTACCTGTATCATAACTGAGCAGAAGAGAAGGCCACTGCATAGTTAAGGAAACAATTCAATAGGAAGAGATAACAACTATAACATGCATCAGATATCAGTGCACCCAAATTCATCAAACACTACTTGATGTGAAGTCAGATAAACACCATTGCAACTGTGATGGGAAAATCTCAATACTGACACTAACAGATCAACTAGACAAAAAACAAAAACCAAATACCAGAGTTGAATCAAACCTTGAAACAAATGGGCTTAATAGTTATGTATAATGAGTGTTCTGTCCAACAACCAAACACACATTCTCAGCAATACAGGGGATTTTCTCCAAAACAGAGCCTATAAAGTATGCTTAAGTGAATGCAAAAAAAAAAAAAAAAAAATCAGAAGTATCCCATGCATATTATCAGATCACAGTGCAATGATACTAGAAAATATTCCCAAAAAGAACCACAGAAATTATGCAAATATATGAAAATTAAACAATACCCTATTGAATAATCAATGGGTGACACAAAATCATGGAAGAAACTAGTTCCTCAATCTGTGATAACACTGATATGACGCATCAGAACCTATGAAAGCAGTCCTAAGAGGGAAGTTTGTAGAAGTTAATGTGTACATCGGGAAAATAAAGCAAGCTCAAATAAATTACCTAATGCACCTAACAGTTCTAGAAAAATAAGGACTATCCAAATCCAAAGTTGGTACAAGGAAGAAAATTACAAAGATCAGAGAAGAAATTAAACTGCATCTAAAAAAACAAAGAATGAATTGAGTTGGTTTTTTGAAAGAATCAACAAAATAGTTGCACCCTTGGCCAATTTTACCAAAATAAGGAAAGAAAAGTGCCAAATGCATGCAGTTAGAAATGACAGCGGCAAAATCACAATGGATTCTGCCAAACGGCAGCAGATCAGTGGTAACTACTTGAAGAGCCTGTATTCCTAAGAAAATGGAAATTCAGAAGAAAGATTCCTAGATACACATGAACTTCCAAAGCCGAGCCAAGAATATATAAAAATCCTGAGTATTCCAATATCAGTCAGTGAGACTGGAGAAGAAAGCTACCCACTAAGAAAAGCCCAGATAGCCTGGCAGAGTCACTACCAGAGTCTGCATGTTCTTCAGAGATCTAATACCACACTCCTCAGACTCTATAATGAAACCAAAAGGGAAGCAATAGTCCCAAAGTCAGTCTTGGAAGCGTGTGTTACCCTGATTCCAAAACCAGAAAAGGACTCAACCAAAAAAAAAAAGAGCTACAAGTATGATGCTGGTAAACAATGCAGCAAATCATCAAAAAAGTCATACACCATGACCAACCAGGATTCCTTCCAGGGTTGCATGGATGGTTTACATTACACAAACACCTATGCAATTCACCACAGAAATAGGAGCAAACACAAAAACAATATGATCATCTCAGTAGACATAGAGAAAGAACTTGACAAAGTCCAACATCTATTCATGATAAAAAACCCTCAAAAATAGTAATAAAAGGTTTTAGCATCAATATTATAAAAAGGCATCTATGGCAACCAATGGTCACCATCACACTAAATGGAGGAGCTAAAAGCTTTCCTTACAAAATCAGGAACAGACAAGGATTTCTCTAGCACCACTTCTGTTCAATACAGTTCTTAAAATACCAGCCAAAGCAATTAGGCAAGATAAAGAAATGAAAGATATTGAGATAGGAAAGAAAGAAATTTAATTATCATTATTTGCAGAAGACATGATCTTCTACATAAAAGACTCCCCCAGAAATCTCTGAGCCCAACAATTGATAACCAAATTCAGTAGCACATCAGGATACAAAGTCAACATTAAAAAACGAATAGTATGCCTGTACACCAGTAACAAAACCACCAACAGAGAAGTTAGGAAACAACTTTCACAACAGCATCAATAAAACTGAAATACTCAGGAATTAACCTAACCCAGGAAGTCAAAGACCTTTACAGAGAACAGCACACTACTTTGAAAAAGGAGACTGAAGAGGACATCAGAAAGTGGAAAGACCTCTCCCCTTCCGGGACAGGCAGAAGGAATGTAGTCAAATGGCCACACTTCCAAAATGATTCAACGGACTTAACACACTTCAGTCAACATATCAATAACATTCCTCACAGAGAAAATAATTCTAAACTTCATACGGAACCAGAAGAGACCCAGAGCACCAAAAGCAACAGGGGGGTGAGCGGTATCACATTCCTGGGCTTTAAATCGTACAAAGCTGAGTGATAAAAACAGCATGGTATTGGCAAAAAACCCAAACACCAGATTTGTGGGTCAGTGGGACAGAACAGAGGACGGCAGAACAGCTCCACACATGCTTGATCTTTGACAAAGGGAGCAGACCTTTCACTGGAGGGAAGACGGCCTCTTTAACTGATGTGCGGGAAGACGGGCTGTCTACACGCCGGAGGGGAAGCACGTCTCTCACCGTGCACTGAAGCAAAATCAACGTGGATCAAAGATCTAAACATCAGGACAGAAACACTGAATCTGCTGGAAGAAGAAATAGGTAGAACTTCTGACACGGGGGTAGTCAAATACTTTATGAACAGAACTCCCGTGACACAAGAAATAACGCCCAGCAGCAGCAAACAGCATCACATCAAGTTACCAAGCTGCTGCACAGGGAAGGAAGTCACCAAGGGAGAAGGCAGGCAACAGGTAGGAAAACATTTTCACTGGCTGTTCTTCAGACAAGGGACTAATACCTCAAATACATAAAGAATTTAAAAAACTAGACCCCCTAACACAAAGACCCAATCAGAAAACGAGCATCTGAAATGAAGACACTTCTCAGATGAAGAAATACAGATGGCTAATAAGTGCAAAATTACCTCAGTTCGTGAACGCTGCTGTTCTCAAAAGTACCTCACAAAATTCTGCTTCCGTGCACAACGTCGTATCAGGAGACAAATACAACTGCAGCCAGCTTCCTCCCGCTAACACAAACACCCCATTGTCCCCAAAACTGTAAAACAAGTTTGTGAACCGAGGTACTACTAGACTTGAAAAAATGTTCAACATCACTGGCCATTACAGAAATGCAGATTAAAACAACCCTGAGCTTCCGTCTCCAGCAAGAATGGCTGTCATCAAAAATCAAGTAACAACCCATGCTGGCAAGGCTGCAAGGAAAAAGCCCTTCTACGCAGATGGGCATCTAAATGGGTACAACCACTGTGGAAATCAGTACGGAGATTCCTCAAAACACTGAGACTAGCGGTTCCATTTGACCCAGTTATGCCCTTTCCAGGATTCTTCCCAAAAGAGTTAAAGACATCATATTACAGTGGTCCACGCACTCCCAGGTTTATAGCAACACAACCAATATTAGTGAAACCGTGCAGATGGCCCATGTGTCCGTCAGCAGGTGAACGGTAAAGAGATGTGTTTCCCTGGTGCAGGACCCCTCTGCCTGAAAGCAGGGTAGACGAGTCTCCTGTAGGAACCTGGTGCACCTGAGGCCATGCTGGTGCGGTAAATCAAACACCGGGCTTACACACTGCATGACTTCTCAGAGACTCAATACAAAGAAAGTGCAAATTAAGAGACACTGCAAAAAAAAGTTACTGTTGCCAGTATGGGCATTGTTTCAAAGTGTATCTTGGATGAACTTGCTAACAATTTAAAAATAAATCTGACACTGGCCAAAAAAAAAGGTGGGCTGTGGTAGTGACAGCCTGAGTGTACCTGAGAGGCGTGTGGAAGGAAGCACCCAGCTTTAAGTTGGTGTAAATCCCGTGGTCCAGGCTGAACATCAAAGGTATGGAAAGGCGCTCTGTGCATCTCATGTGAGCCCCGTTGGTTGCACACAGGCCAGGTGGAGGTGAGGCCCTGTGTCACAGGAGCCTGACGGCAAGAAGTGACCTTGGGACACTGCTCGGCAGATGGCTCCAAGCTAGCCCAAGG